CTGCCTTTTTCTCCTGCTTGCCTCCTGCTCCCTCTGCTCACCCCTTCCTGTCTCCCCCTTAGTGCTGCTCTCCCCCCATCACACACACACACACACACACGTGTGGCTTGGGCACATGTACTAGGAAATGCTCCCCCCGAAGACCTGTCCATCACAGCTAGAAATAAAATAATCTGTGCCATTTAATGTCCTCATGCTTAATCCACCGCTAAGAGTTGGCATCTTGGAAATTCCTTCTGACTGCTTAGAAGAACAGTGGAGGTGGCGGGTAGGTGGCAGGTAGAAGCTAAGGTGCTTGTACACAAGAAGTAGTGAGATGACTGAAGTGTCACCTAGGGAGGGGGAAGGAGACACTCAACAGGCATGATAGTGTAGGATGTGCCTGATAGAATGGGATGAGCTAAGTAGTGCACTGGCCTAGACAGGGAAAGTGTTGACTATCAGAGTTGTGTGTTCAGTGGCCTAGGCAGGGATTTTTGTCAATAGAGCCTTAAAGGTCTTGTAGCTGTCCAGTGACCCCTGAGGCTGGCAACTGATCAGGCCCGAAAAGAAACAGGGCTGGCCCTCAGACATAGAGGTGCAAATGGTGCTTATCAGCCTCTTGTAACTTGAACAATCTAATGTACTCCTTCTCCCCAGCCTTCCTTTATTTATTCTTGGATCTGGACTTTCCATACTCCAGTCACCTGAAGAAGTGGGTTGTGCCCAGGGAAGCTCATGTTACCATCTCCATGTGTTGTTAGTCTCTAAGGTGCTGCTAGACCAGTGTTTCTTAAACTTTTTAAGATTGAGGAACACCAATTTTTTTTTATGAACACCAAGGATTTTTGGCTGAGCAAAAAAAAAAAAAAAAAGGGGGGGGGTCAGGGGAAAACGGGTCAGGGGGAAGTTACTGAGGAAAAAAAAGGTTGGGGGAAAGTTATTGAGCGAAAAAAACAATATAAAAGGGACGCCTGCTCCTTTAAGGGTGGCCATTTTGAATTCTGTTCTCTGCGGCACCAGTGTGCCGCAAACCACAGTTTAAGAAACACTGTGCTAGACTCTTTGTTGTTTTTTAAGTTTTTCCTGAGATGGGAGACCTCCAAGGAAAACCCAGATGTGAACTCAGCCTGAGCTTTCCTAGCATCTGGGGACGTTTGGATCTATCTTGATGGTCAGCCTCAACTCTTTTCCTTCCGCATGTTCTAGAGGTGCTGCTAGGTCTAATGACAGGTGCTAACTTGCCTTACTGCCCCGGATCAGTCTCGCACACAGCGTAGCACTCAAAAGCCAAAGTCCGGGTTAGCTTTACCTGGGCTCTGTCCCTTAAGGCTTGCAGGTCTGCTGAGCTGAGGGGATCAAAGGAAACAGGTCTGGTTACAGCAAGCAGGGCTGTGAGCCCTGGAAGGACTGAGCAGCAATCAGGTGTCCATTTCAGATTGGGGGGGGGAGGTGCGACCTGTGCATATGTGATGTGTGTGGGGAACAGAGTCAGAGCATGGGGAGGGGCAGACTGAGGGCAGAGGCATCAGCAGTGTTACAAGCCAAGCACCAAATGGGGCAGGAATCAACCCCATCTGTCCCCACATACACACGCATCATCTCTATCCAGAGGCTACCAAGGCACTGGAAAACTCTACTTTTTTTGGCAGACAACTTAGCAGTTAGCTCACAGGAGTACGGTAGCTAATTCCTATGTAAAAGAAAGAAACGTCAATAAATATTAGACCCCCCTCAGCTCTAACGCTAACATATTTTGACATCTTGTGGCAAGGCACTTAAGGGACCCTGGTTAGCCTTAAAATTGTAATGTCTAAACTTATGTTGTTACTAACTCTGTGAAGAGACAGAGCCCACCCGGACTCCTTGCCACTATCTCAGCTATGGAACGGGACTGGGGATTCCTGTTAGGTGCAGAAGCAAGTCTCTCACATTGTACAATTTATTGTCTGTTCCATAAGACCAAAGGTCCATTTAACCCACTATCCTGTCTTCTGACAGTGGATAATACCAGGTACCCCAGAGGGAATGAATAGAACAGGTAATCATCAAGTGGTCCCTCCCTTTTCACCCATTCCCAGCTTCTGACAAACAGGGGCTTAAGGACACCATCCCTGCCCATCCTAGCCATTGATGGACCTATCCTCCTTGAACTTTGTTCTTATTGGAACCCTTTTATGGTTTGGGCCTTTCCATCATCTCCTGGCAAAGAGCTGATTGGGAAAAAATCATTTATTTTGTTTGTTTTAAACCTGCTACCTATAAATTTAATTGGGTGAGCTTCCTGTGTTATGTCAGTAAAGGAATAAATAATATTTCATTATTCTATTTTTCCACACCATTCATGATTTTCTAGACATCTAACATATCCCCCCATCCTTTAATCATTTCTTTTCCAAGCTGAAAAGTCCCAGTCTTGTTAATCTCTTGTCATATGAAAGATGTTCCTTAACCCAATCATTTCTGTTGCTTTTTCTGTACCTTTTCCAAATACAATATATCTTTTTTTTAGATTGGGTGACCAGATCTGCATACAGTAATCAAGATGTGGGCATACAGTGACTTTATGTAGAGGCAATATGGTATTTTGTCTTAGTATATATTGCTTTCTTAATGATTCCCAATATTCTATTAGCATTTTAGTTTTCAGACTGCACTGCAGATTGAACAGATGTTTTCAGGGAACTATCCACAATGATTCCAAGATCTCTTTCTTGAATGGTAACAACTATTTTATATGTATAGTTAGGATTATGTTTTCCCATGTGCATTACTTTGCACTTATCAACAATGAATTCCATCTGCCTATGTGTTGCCCAATCATCCAGTTTTGTGAATCCACTTTGTAACTCTTTGCAGTCAGCTTTGGATTAGTCCCTGATCACCCCTTTTTCAAGAACATTTTTTCTACATTTATAAAAAAAGTTTTTCCTGCAGGACAAGAGAGTGACATCACTCTGCATCCCACAACCCCTCCCTCCCAGCCACCCAGCCTCCTCCCTCCCTTCATTACT